ATCATGATGAGTGATGTAAACTTGGAATTGCCTGCCAGGTATTTTAAGTTAAGGTGCTATTTGTTTTTATTATATATATATATATATATATATATATATATATATATAAATACTGTTGCACTAAAGTCCAAAAGTGAAGAATGTATATTATTTATTACTTGATTGTTCAAGCTACCTCACAGAAGTGCTCGGTTTTTTGCCAGAGTTGTTGAATGTTAGAACAAGGATTTAAATAAAAAATAAGAAACATCCTAGATCTGTTTCTTCGTTCTTTTTTTTTTTTTAAGTATTATAGAAGTATCGGAACGTGTTTCGGTAACGGTAGTTACTCAAAATCAAATGACTTGGACTCAGACTCGATGGCAAAACAAAACCTGATTGAAGCATCCCTAGTACCATATGGGAAAACCAACTGAGAACAACCTTGCTAAGATCTGTGTAAATGCCTGACAACACCCCGATCCCCCAGCACTTCTCACATTCAGGAGAAAGTCATCACACGGTCTTTGTTGCCTTGAAGGTCTATTGACTGTTCTCCAGTGAGCAGTCAGTGAACAAGTGTGGCCTTGGGTAATGACATAAGCTTTGATGCCGCACCTGAGTGCTGTTTTAAATACAGATGGCACTGAGGTTTGCTCCACCTTCTCAATGGCTGAAAAAACAGTCAGTTTCCTATTATTTGCATAGAAAACCTAGCACGTAAAGCTCTACATCACTACAACATACATTTCCAAAGCAGTATATAATCAAGAATATCTAATTGTATCAAAGTGCAATGAGACAAGCTTAATCCAGAGATCAACCATCTGCTCAGGACTCATCCTCTCAAACTAGTACACAAATTTAGGGTATGTTTACATGACAACGATACACTAAAAACAGAAAAGAGTTTAGAGTACAAATGACAATGCTTGCAAAACGATCTCTGTGCACACCAATTTGCAATAAAACACCTAAGCGTGACATATTGGTAAAGAAACATTATTATGACATTGTTGTTTTGGTTGTCAAGTACTCCTCTATGCACTCTGAACACTTTTATAACCCCCCCAAAAAATGAAAATTCTGTTATTTACTTTCCCAACACGTATTCCAAACCTGTTTGAGTTTATTTCTTCTGTTAAACAAGAAAAAATACTGAAGAATGCTGAAAAAGAAATTAAAGAAATTAATTGTATTTTTAGTTCCTATTATTCTTTTAAACAAATGTTTCTTCTAAACTAAGATTTTTTTAGTCCCTCTTCTTTTTGCAATATATATATATATATATATATATATATATATATATATATATATATATATATATATATATATATATATATATTATTTTTATTTTTTATTTTTTTTCATTATATTTATCCAATAGATCTAAAGTTGTTAACATTGGTCCAACAACATCGTAGGCATTAGGTGGTTCTATGGGGGTTTCATAGGGGAGTATTTTGGGACCTTTACTTTTCCTAACGTATATGGCCTTCCTCAGGTGATTAAACATTCAGATTTTTTATTGTACACTGATGTCATGGTACTTTTTGTGTCTGGATCAAGTACTGACACAATTAACAATCAATTGAATACAGATCTACAGCATTTACATCAACGGCCGCAAGACAATCATTTGACTATTAAACGCTAAAAAATTGAATTTATGTACTTTTACTCACCTATAGGTGAAAATAATCCATATCCAATCCCATCACTTCTCAAATCAAAAACTTTCCACTGTGTCTACATTTCAATATTTGGGAATCAGTCTGACCAGGTTCAAAATGTCTATGAAAAGCTGAAACAAAACCTATTTGTTTATGAGAAAATTAGGACAAATTTGTCTTTTTCTGTTTCTGAAACTTATCTTAATGCCATTATCTTGTCCACCTTGTCATACTGTTTCACTTTATGGTCATTCACAACAAATGATATCTTATAATCTCTAATAGGGCCTATAAGAACCACAACAGACTTTCTGGATGGACACATCATTGTTTTGCTCTATCACTCTCTAATGCTTTGTCATTTCAAAATTACATTATGAACACACAGGGAATAAACTCATTCATTCATTTTCTTTACGACTTAGTCCCTTTTTTAATCTAATGTCGCCACAGCAGAATAACCGCCAACTTATCAAGCATATTTTTTATGCAGCGAATGCACTTCTAGCTGCAGCCCATCACTGGAAAACCCTCATAAACACTAATTCACTACGAATAATTTAGCTTACCCAATTCACCTATAGTGCATGTCTTTGGACTGTGGGGGAAATCAGAGCACCTGGAGGAAACCCACATGAACACTGGGAGAACAAGCAAACTCCACACAGAAATGCCAACTGACCCAGACGAGACTCGAAGCAGCGACCTTTTTGATGTGAGGCGACAGCACTACCAACTGCCCCACCAGGAATTAAACTGTACGATCAAATTTTAAATAGTGCTACCTCAGCGGTCCTTTCCAAAACCTAATACAAAGACTGATCGTTCCACCAGATCTGCAACAAATAGAAGTTTGCCATAACCGGCTTTTAAAAACTGTTATGGACAGAGATCTTTCTTTTATGTATTCACAAAAGCCTGGAATGAGATCCCACAATATCTTAAAACAATACCAACGATGAGACTTTTTAAAAAATCTCATGCTCATCATCTGATGGTCAACTATCGCTGTAGCCACTAATATAGTAACCTGTCTCTCTTCAGTTTGTATGTTTGGTGATTGTTTGTACTGTTCTCATGTGTTGATGGATGAAATGTCTGTGTGTTCTTATGTTCTGCAGAGCAGGAACCTGCCGAAAAACAGCATTCATGCCGAGTCAGGCCCGATTATATTTTCCTGTTAAAAAAATCAACCCATACTCATTCTGAAAACGTAGCTCTATATACATTTCTGGAGACTGCAAAATACTTCCCAGGAGGTTCGAGGCCCCTGAGTATGCTTTTTGAGATCTCAAAAAGTGCCATTCGTACATGCTGTTCTCGTGTAAATCCACCAGAGACTGCTGTCAACTGACTGAATGAAAACCCCACCCACCCTGTTCTATTAACCCAACCAATTATGTTTTCAAAAGCAATACAAAAAAGAAAAGTCACTTGATTTTTACCAGGTTTTCAGATCTTACCATATCCTCATATCCTGTTCTTTGTTTATTTTATTTTATGTTTGTTTTACCTGCTTTCTGAAACCATTCTTTACCAGACTTGAACCTGATCATTGCGGTCGACTCCTCTCAGCTTCTCAAGTCCGCTGACATACGTGGTACACTATTTGAGATCTCAAATTTCTCTGCGAGTGCCATTCGTACCTGCCGTACCTTCTCCAAATCCAATTCTCGCATAAAGGCTGCTGTTGACTTACTGTTTGACTGACTGACTGACTGACTGACCGATGAACTGACCCACCCCCCTCTTTCCCTAAACCCAACCAATTTTATTGATTTAGCCACCCACCCATTCACTTCCCTAAACCCAATCAACAATTTTCAAAAACAATCCAGAAAAAGAAATGCCCAGAAAAGTCTTACTACTTACCACTTGTTACCACATTCTCATCCTGTTATTTACTTTATTTTTTTGATTTTCAAAAATTTTCTATTTTTGTCTAACTCGCTTTCTGGAACCATTCTTCACCGAACCCCATCATCAACTCTTCTCTTCGTCTCAAATTCTCCAACATACATGGCAAGCTAACGGGACAAACTGGTTACAGCGAGAAAGCTATCCATACGGAGGCAACCGGTCAGCTGGTAAGCGTTAAAAAGAAATAGCCCCGCCCCGCAGCGTCCATTTTAAAAATATACCTCTGGCTACATAATTTGCAGTCTCCAGAAAAGTGTATAGGGCTACGTTTTCAGAATGAGCCTGTTGTTAAAAACTACAAAAAAATAAAAATAAACTACAAATGTTAATGGCTGTTTTTTTTTAAATATTGTTCAGAATATTTTGTTTTGTGAAATATTCACAAAATTCACAAAAGTTTAGAGGGATTTAAGTGTATGTAAATGACACATAAATACAACTGCATACATTTTGCAATAAATATTAGGCATGAGGTGTACCGATACTGTATTCGCACTTTAAAATACTTCAATTGGAGCCAGCACCTACGCTTTTCACTCATCATAGCACATGTGCTGCTGATGATGTGAAAATAAAAGTGATTTGATTTGAATTAATTAATTTTCCACACTAAATGAACTTGCTTAGTCAGAAAATGTTTGCACAAGCATTCTTGCAAGAAACGATACATCTATTAAAAAGCAGAATCTGCAAGAGTGAGTGGGTTTAGATCAAACGGCAAGATGATCAAATAAAGACTGCAATCTGAAAGAGAATGGTTAAACACAAGCCATCCTTAACAAGTCAAATGTTGATTCTTTAAACAACTGCTGGAGTAAATCAAAGCCTGTCACAATCTGCCCGGTCACACATACTGCTTGATGAATGCCTCAACCTTAAAGCAACTTCCTGGCCATCAATACACTTACAAAGATCACTTTATGGTAATCTTTTGTAATGACTTGAGACTTGCAAAAGTGAGAAAGCTTTTGAACCCAAGATCAATGCAGTCTGTACACTGAAACCACATGCACTTCAGCAATGTCTACTAAATCATCATGCATATCACTATATACTGAAATTATCACAAAAAATGACTGTGATATCACATGTAAAGCAATGAATGAACAAATAACTAAATATCCTCAAGGATCAAATAACAGTCCATAACTTAATCTCTAATTAGAAGCATTTAAAGAGCTTTCACACACGGAAAATCACCCTGCATATTAAAACCCCATAAACAGACACACCTCCATATGCACCATTGGAGCATCTGTAAATAAGAAGAATAAATTGAAAAATCTAAGAAACAAATCAAGGCGTAAAGTCAAAACACAGGCCTTGTGGCCATTTAAACTGTCATAAAACTTATTCCAGCGAACAGCTAAAGTCTCAACCAGCGATTCACTGAAAGGACGCGTGGAGGGGAAAAAGCCGCAAACTTACGTGAAAACGAAGAATAAAGTAGTGGATCCCACCAGGAGAGTGGCGGCAGTGGACACCGGGATGTATTTGGTGGGTTTAAATCTTTTTCCAACGCTGTTGGGCATTCTGTAAATCCCACATTCCTCGTTTATTGGATCGCTATCGTTTGATGCACGCAAACACGAACGCAAAACCTGCACGGTTCAGCGCGAGCCGGCTAAACGTTTATTCGCTCCGTCGCATACACCGTTAAATCGTGATCCTTGGATACGCGATCGAGAATACGAGGCTGAAAATCCCACCCAGCTCAATTCAGCCACTGCTGAGGTCACTGCAATGCTTGAAAGGTGGAGCCTCCGCTACGCAAACAGAGGAGGCGAGACCGAGACGCACGCGCGCGCGCTCCATCATCATCATCATCAGCGGGGCCTCGGCGAGTCTTGAGCAGCGCAAACACACACTTTTGCTGTGAAAAAATGTGATGGAGAAATTACACACAGAGTGGAGGTGAAATATGTCGATTTAAAAGGAGTTCATAACTATAAAGTCCTTGTTGAATCGCAATATGAAATGTAAAAACACGTGGCCGTTCATTCAGTTTTTTTGGACTGAGATTGGAGAGATATTGTAGAGAACTGTGTGTGCACGCGCGCAAACAAGCCAAACTTTCAGTGTGCAGACTTGTGATATGATGTGGGTACATTGTGACCTCTGGTGGCAGATTTAGAGAATTATGTCAGTTTTTATCCAAACTGAAAATTCGGACATCGTTTAGGCCAGGGCATCCCAAACTGTTCAAAAATAACAATGTCAGTGACTCGCCACCCCCAACATCCTCCTTGGTGGAACCACAATATTATAAAAACCTTGCATGCGACGGCACACACACACACACACACACACGTAGGCCCGCGTCTATTGTTCGTTTATTGCACCGTCTATACTTCGTATGTTGCATTTGACGCTATGCTATATATTTAATACAGTGTAATCACCACAAGGGTCGCAAAACAACAACAACAATAATAATAATAATAATAATAATAATAATAAAAACGAGGCTGTTAATTCAACTATAAACTACAATTTTTGTCCTCTGTAACGTTAGGTTATGGACATAATATTCAGGCCCGTAGCCAGCCTGGTGAAAGGGGTGTTTTTTTCTCAAAAAGTGGACCTTTTAGCACTTGTATGCCTCAGTTTCTAATTAACTATGAAATTTAAATACTACATTTTAGTGATTTTTTGCTGGATTAACTTGTCAGATGTCATCATAACCACACTTTTTAATGTACTAAAAGTATGTCCTAAAAAAATTGCAATAAAAAATTTAAACAAGAATAGTTTTTAAAATACAAATTTATTACATCATATAACATTAGGAAAAAAATAGCAATAAAAACAAACTGCCAGCACATTCAACTGTCTTCTGTCACAATTTGGCCATTTTCAATACAAAAATAAATAAAAACACAATAATAATAATAATAATAATAATAATAATAATAATAATAATAATAATAATAATAATAATACTGTAATAATAATAATAAAAATAATTCAACTGTTCTCAGTCACAATTTGGCCATTAAAAAATAATAACAATTAAAACAATAAAATAATAATAATAATAATAATAATAATAATAATACTGATAATTATTATTAATTATTATTATTATTATTATTATTATTATTATTATTATTATTATTATTATAAAACAATTATAATGAATTCTGCAGAATTTTTCTAGTCTCTTTGGTAAAAAAAAAAGTACAATTGAAAATTCCTGGATATCAACAATAGTAAAAATATATTCAAATTAATTTAATATGGTCCGCTTCTGGTGCTTCACACCTTTTTATTGCTCATTTTTATTTCAGAAAAAAGGTCTTAAGATTTAGAATAAAGTTCCCTGTAAAAATGTTTTCTCAGTTTAAAAACAATAAAGTAGTGAAAGAAGACTTCTCTTACATCAGATTATAGTCCCACCAAAGCAACAGCCGACTGGGGATTCCGTTTGCTCTTAAAGCCTTTTTCGATGAATTACTTTCATTATTTATGATGGCATGGCAGTCAAAATAGGACAAATGAGCTCATGTATGGGAACAAACAGCCTCATAAACACAGACGTGACGGGAATATATATGAATATAAATAAATTAATTATATAATTAGTATATTAAATGATTTTAGATTAAATGAAAGGACAAATGCTGGACCTTTTGGTCGTGGGTGGGGGGGTGGGGAGGGTAGTAACATGCTATTAGGTTATGTGACCGCTAGGTGGCGTTCTTGGATGATCAGAAGCTAACCACCACAAGGAGCTTGTCAGAGTTGGTCAGAGCAGTCAGTGTGTCCTAGCCAGGCTCACTTTCTGTTCTAATGTCCCGTGCATCTGTCTTTGATTATATTCATCATCTGTCTCCATATTCTACTGCATCCCAGAATATTACACAGCACCAAAAATGTCAAAATATATATTCAATATATTTAATCTGTTTTCGTCCACAGCCTACCGCAACTCGCCGTGACGGAGGAGTCTGTGTGCTCCAATGAGATGTGCTCACTTCAGCGCTCACCATGACAACGAGACTCACAGTGATGTCGCTTTGTAAACATTTGCATCTCCATTCCTATAAAGCTTGCCGGTTTTCTCTTAGTGTTGTCAGTTCGCTCGGTGTGGCTGTTTGTACTCGACCAAGGTGAGTTCAATACAGACGGTAAAAGTGGAGCCAAGCCAATCTTACGAAGTCAGCTTCGTGAAGCTTCACTCGGGCCCGTCTGGGCTGTAGTTGCTTGCGGTGTGCGTACTGCGTATTGGGACCCTGCTGCGAGGGTTATGGTGGGTGGGAGCAGCGAGGCCCACTCATCGTCTATTGTTTAGTTTACTATAGTTTAAAATAGAAACCATGGTAACTGTAATGTTTTTTTTTTACTGTATGTCTGGCTGTTGTAATGTTTTGCTTTGTTTTTCAGCAGAGTTGTTGAGCAAAGAAGGACTATTGAAGACAACCGTTGAAGACAACCGTAGGTTATATTCACGAGCGCGTGCATTATAATGTTTCCGTGCTGTTTCCTGAAAGTTTATCCTGTTTAGATAAGTTTGCAGGTCAAACTAAATAAACTATACATTTTCCAAACACATGTCTCTTGTTTTATTTGTTCTCTACGGCAATACACTGTCATATAAGTCATAAAAACGTACAATAAAGTAACGTTAGTCTAAAAAATAAATAGTTGTTATAAATGTACCTTCATCCAGAATATACTGTATATTTAACATGTCATGAACTTACTGTTATTCAAGAATCTGTTTAATAAAAATGTCCTAAGACAAGAATGGGTATTGTTTTGGTTTATATCAAACTACTGAAGGTTTCAAGTAAATCAAGTAAAATGTGTCTTACTCAAGTATTTTAGCTTGCAAAAGTCAAATTTAAGTATATAAAATCAGTTTCCAACAACAATATCTAGTCTTGTCAAAATGACCAGTGGGGTGGTGAGAAAAAAAGTTTATGTCAAGTTATATATATGAAAGAAGTTGAACAAGTTGTCATAATATTTAGTCATAATGCAATTTTCTATACATTTCCATTAGACATTTTTCTAAATCTACAATTGGTAAATTGCTCACAGGTCAATCTTGACTTCGTCTAATGAAGATGCATCTGAAAGGAGATTGTCCTATGTTTACATTTCTACTTTTGTTTTGTTTTTTCTTTGTCCTATGTGCTGTCTTTTCTTTTCTGTATCACAATGACAAGATCTGGCAACAAATTACAGTACAAACCGCAAAGTAATTAACTAAATTAGCCACAGTTTACATCAGAACATCCCTCCAGAGTACAGTTATATTGACAACATGAGTAAGTAATTTGACTGTCTTATCCATACACAATGACACAAGGACTTGTCATTCTGACGGCACTGACATATTGAGTGAACTAAAGATTTTAAGCAAGAGACTGGCTTTTGCGGGTAATCCATGCTGTTTTGCTATTTGTATGCTGTTTTGAGAAATGCGCTTACTGTTTTGTAAATTTGAAATCTGAGAAATGTACTAAAGCGACTGTGAAAAACTGGAGTACAACACAAGTTAATGCAAAGACGAAAAGTCTGCAAAGACAAAAGTGTGTATTTTTATTTGCACATATTCTTTTATAAAAATAGTAGTTTATACATAATTGGGTTTTATATTTTTTGGCTTAATAATTATTACTTTAGTCTACTCAAAAAGTAGCCCACTATCATTTATTAGACAGAAAACAATCTGGCCAGCACATGCAACTGCCCTCAGTCACAATTTGGCCATTTAAAAATGATAAAAAATAATAAATAATAATAATAATAATAAAACAATTATAATGAATTCTTCAGAATTTTTCTAGCCTCTTGGATAAAATGAAAAAAGGACATTTGAAAATTTCTGGATATCAAAATTAACAAAAATATATTCAAATGAATTTAATATGGTCCGCTTCTGATGCTTCACACCTTTTTATTGCTCATTTTTATTTCAGAAATAAGGTCCAAGATTTAGAGTAAAGTTCCATGTAAAATGTTTTCTCTGTTTAAAAACAATAAAGTAGTGAAAGAAGACTTCTCTTACATCAGATTATAGTCCCACCGAAGCAACAGCCGACTCAGGGATCCTTGTTTACATATTTCACTATTCTTTTGTTTGATCAAACATAATTCACTGTGTTTGGACCACAGCAGACATATAAAAGGATTACTTATGCACAACACCTTAAAAACAGAGGAGAATGGCCCTGAAGGGCACAGCATAGGGTAAGAGATGACAGCTGTCTGTGCTATCTGGGGCTGCTTATTGATCATGAATGTATTTACATTTCTGCGCCATGGAAACACCACAATTCATTCAACAACTGTTTGATATGTGAATATAATTCAGTAAAAAGAATGCTAGAACTGTATGAGCACCGGCAAGAGCTTTCATTTGAGCTATAACTTGTACATGTGTCATTTGAAAAATATGAAATATATGTGAAATATATATGAAATATGAACCAATGTAAAATACCTAGCTCGGGTATCCAAAATACTGTGTATTTAAGTACCTGGTCCGCAGAGTTTAAGTGGTTAAATATCAGAAGTATTCAGCATACTATCACAATTGTACCCACGTAGTTCTTACTGTAAGTAAAAGTATTCTTTTTAATCTGTATATTTAGTGTCTAGTCAGAAATATTAATACCATTTTTTTAAATGACATAAAAAACAGACACAGACAGACCGATAAATTTATAGATTGATACACTGTAATAAAGAAAATCTGATACTTGTTAAATAATAAATGCATTAATATGATACATTATTAAATGATATTCAAATAAACAATTAATACAATAACTAAACAAAAATTATATAACACAAATGCGTATATAAGATGAAAGTGAACGATGAAAAATAAATACCATTTCGAGGCTTTTATTTTGAAATCTGGCCAGCATGAGAACACCGGATATCCACGCAGAGAGATGCGATGCTTTATGCTGAAGCTGTTAAACATCTGTTGAAAGATTCAGTGAAAAGGTGACATTTTTAATAACTTGATTATTCATCTGAATTATTTTATACCGTTTTGTGAAACGGACAAATCTATTAGATATGTAAAAGCTAAGTTAGATGGCAAACTTTTACCTTAACTTACTTTCTCTCTGCCACATTTTCAGTAACGTTACCAGTCAACACAATTATACTGTAACGTTACTTACTTATCATTCATATTACTTAAATATGTTGCTGTTGATGAAAAGTGATGTTATTTGCGGCTGTTGCCTTTGATAAAAATGCTGAGCTCACTGACACGAGCAGCATTAGCCACCGTCGCTAATACTGTAGTCAGTCAGTCATGTGTAACAAATCTAAGATAAAACAAACTAAAACTAATCACTGCTCCACCATGACAAATTGTGTTTATGCTGTTGTCAACTTTCTCACTGCTTGTGAATCTCTGACGCATTATTTGCGTCAACTGTCAACGATTCCCTCAATAGACAGCAAATCTGCCAATCATAATATACACAGCTGAAAATAATCTGAATAAATAAGGCTTAACTTACGAGTAAACATAAACCAACACTAATGACATCAATTAGCCCATGTACATTATGAAATACAGTATGAAAAGTCTTATTTAGAGGCACTGTTATCAAGGGTAAACGAGCAACATTGTTATAAAACTAAGGAAAGACGTGTTAAAACCATAGGCTGTAGGTTAAAACCGCTTTGGGTCATAGATCTTTTTAAATATTTTGAGGCATTGGTATGGCAAATGTTGCCTGTAGATATTAAGAGCATGGCAAAAGGCATTAGCTTTAGTTTAAATTAAACCAAAATAGTGTTTTGGGTGATTTTGCAATGTGTTTTAATGGTTATTTGTGATTATATTTGTGTTTATTTTGTTATTATTTAAGCAATTCCAGCATTATGGATGTGACATTTACTGTAAAAACTCAAAACATAAATTTACAGAGAAAGCATATGTTAACATTAAATAAAAAAAAACTGTTTATATTTTCCAAAACAATCAACCACAGAGTTATGGGATTAGAAAAATATCAGTCTGTAAAAATGTATTTGATTTTAAATGAGAAAAATAAACATGCTTTATGGATGTGTTGAAGTTAGCAAGTTTAAAGTAGGGCTGGGCCCATAAATGATATATTTTTTACTCTGTATTGACCTAAGAGCCAATCACACAGCAGAAACGTGCAACAATTAAAAAAAAGTGTGTTGATATTAGAGATGTATTGAATTTGCAGCCACTGAAAATTTATTGGCGGAAAATATGCTATGCCGTTTAATCGATCCTCTAAGTTTTGTGACTTCAGTCATTGTTGGGGTACTCTTAAATCTGGAAGCATTAATAACTTATATCAAAATATATACCGATATCATTCAATATGGAAAATAATTATCAAGATTGAATTTTTGCCATTATCGCCCAGCCCTAGTTTCATAGAGAAAGTCTATGTTAACAATATATTGAAAAATCTGTTTATATTTTTCAAAACAACTAACCACAGAGTTATGGGATCAGAAAAATATCAATCTGTGAACATTTTTAGATTTTAAATGAGAAAAATAAACATGCGTTATGGATGTGAAGAAAAAAGTTAGCAAGTTTACAGTAAACAATGTACATTGTAGAAATTCTGTGAATTAAACTGCACAACCCAAAAGAAACGACTCTAATCAAAACGATAAGAGTCGGCTTACTATAGAACAAAAATGATTGATTTTATTTGATTGTACAGTTTTGCATGGATGAGGTTTGTTATAGATGTGATGTCTTTTCGTTTTGGACGTGACAGGTGAAACTGGCACTTGTGTGACTTTGCTAAATCAAATATAATTGTTTGAAAACATTGACATAAACATTTTTGAGTAGTTTTTAAGTACTGCTTACACTAAAATGTAGAAACGGTTTCGCTATTTTAGTTTAATAGTTTATTTTTTTTTTTGACTTTTTTTATGGCAAGGTTGACATTTGCATGGCATTGCTCATTTATAATTCACAGTTGTACCTGTTACAGGGAGAAGCTAATCTAACAGGGCTAAAGTTGGTTTTATATTCGCACATTCAGACTTTCTCCCTAATAATATAATTTCAGATTGTATTCCGGTCACACTTTATTTGCATGGTCTGTTTGTTGAATTAAATTTACTTTTTAACTAATTCTCATTGGATTTTAAGATGGTTAGGGTTAGTGTAAGTTGACATGTACTTGCAAAGTTTCTTAAAGTCAGTTAAATGTCTGTTGAAGGAGCAGAATCAGCAAATATTAAGCAGACAGTGTACTACTAATACTCAAATAGACCATCAAAATAAGATGTTACCTGTATTCCTTGTAAACTCTAAATAGTGAAATCATATAAGAAGCCAATGACTCTCAAGTACAACATTGTTCACAGTCAATTAAACAGTGCTAATGTTGTTTTAGGGTCTACTTGCAAATGACCGAATATTCAAAGTACCATGGTAAACAATTAAGGGAGCAAGTTGTCACTGAACGAATGTGCGAATATAAAGCAAACTTTACCACAATCCTTATCTGTACTTTATATCAAAGATCGTTATAGAAACAAGTTTTGTTTTTAAAAAATTATTGTGCATATTCTTGATGAATTAAATGTATTCACTTTTGCGTCAAATAAAATGAAGAAGCAAAACAAGTACATGAAGTAAATGAGTAGGATTAACAGTCTATATTTTTATTGGCCATTTTCTTCAAGGCAGTTCTGTTCCAAGCTGAGCAGGTGAAATGGCGTGTGCAAAAGTGCCTTTAGATGAGCTGCATGTGACTGAGCACTTTGGACCTCAAGGCAAAGAACGCACTTTACCAGCGCTGGTGAGTGAATATTTTGCAGAGTAATAATCTCAAGTACACCTGAAGCATTGTTACAGTGCTTTTTTTCCTGTATGACTGATAATGCTGTTGTCTCCTCAGCACCCTGACCGCAAAGAAGAGAGATGTTTTTTACCCTTTAAACCCCCACCTGAAGATGGCACACCTGCACTGGTCGAGGAGTTCCTGGAACATGCTCAGTTTATCTCAGAGGATCTGGACTGGCTGCTGGCATTGCCTCACGACAAGTTCTGGTGTCAGGTTAGCATCTCTAAAATGCAAAGTTGTTTTATTAAAAAGATGATATGACCATGCAAGAGGAGGTCAAATAAATCAATAAATACAGTGCCTATAGAAAATCTTCATAGTCCTTTAAAACAATTACTTTATTTGTGATAGAGCCTGAAATGAAATCACTTGTCCAGCCTTTGAAATGTTTTGTAGTCTTCTCTAACCTGTTCTTTTCTATAACTTTAACCCGAAGGTTAAGCATGATGATCACAGGGCATGATGATTTTCTATAAGCACTAGGGATGTAACGGTATCAGAATTTCACGGTACGGTAATACCTCGGTATGAATGCCACGGTACGGTATTTATTGAATCATTTACAGGAAAAAAAAAAAAACTTTTGAAAATACTCCAAAAAAGTGCCAAAAGTGTCAATGACATACAAATTAGCCATCTATCTGTAAGCTTTGAAACAGGAACTTCAATTTTAATAACAAAAAATTATTAAACCATGTAAAAAAAATAAAGTTTCAATTTAGTATTGTTGAAAACTCATCACATTTAACATTTAATCACTCACTTAGATAGAGATGGGTTTAAAGGAAAATTATCATATAACTATAATCTGGTAAAAGCTGGTATCTCTGGGTATTTACAATGTCCCCTGCAACAGAAAAAACCCCTCTCATTTGGGACTGAGGATTCTGGGACAAGAGAGATATGACTTGGCCCATGTTGACAGCAGTGGGGTAACGTTGTGCATTGTCTTTCCCCCACTTGAGAGGACAAACCATGAGTGAGATAGAGATCTCTTTGCGGTACAAGTCAATGTCTGCATCAATCTGAACAGTGTGCTGTGTTTCTGCAGTCCCCATGACTGTTATTAGTCGTATTCCCCAACTTGCAGGCACGTGCACACATAGGGCTCAACCTGTGCAGTGTACATGCCCTTTTTAGTCTTGGATAGAAAATGCCCTTCCAAAACGATCAAAAGTGCCCCCGCGACGCGACACAACCTCAGTCCAGTCCAGCCCTTCAGTAGGCGCGCGATAACACCTCTCTTGAGTATGCGCGCTCAACCCCCCCTCGGCGCTTTACAATACGCGCGCCACAACACAGCTGATCAGAACGCGCGCGACAGCACCGCTATTCAGCACGCGCGCGGCGACAACACCCGCTTTAGGTTCGATCATTTCCATCTTTTTTTCATCTCCGCTACCAGCAGCACACTCCATTTCCGCATTACTGGATCTGTAGCGACAACAGACCGCAAAGGATTATGGCCACGCCGGGGCTGATGGGAAATGAAGTTTCAGCTACCTCCCGTTCGCTTCATTCGCCTGAGCAAATTTTCTCAGAAGACCTATAGTTTTACCGAGTCATGCGACTTCGGTAATATCGAAAAAATTTAATATTGCGGTATGACGGTATTTACAATACCGTTACATCCCTAATAAGCACTGTAAATAATGAATAAATTCATAATTATTGTGTATATCCTTGACGAGTTAAGTGTATTCGCTGCTTTTTAAAGGCAGTGAACTGACTCTGCCTTCAAATAGTGTCTTTACTGGCAGAATATTATGATTATTTAGGTAAACTTGGTGTTATGTTTGTAAATTCGGAGAATTGCATTCAATAAAATAGGTAAAAACAAAAAAGGCTAATGCAGTTCAATTATCACAACGTACAATATATTTGTAACTATAACTTAGCGTTTTAAAACAGCTGATAAACACGCTTATCTCTATGGAAATTTGTGACGTCATCGTTTATGTGAAGAACCCTCTGTTTGAACATTTTAATCATTTTTTAAGATATACATCACCTGACAAAAGACTTGTCGCCTTTCCAAGTTTTAGGAACAACTAATAATAACTTGACTTCTAGTTGATCATTTGGTATCAGAAGTGGCTTATATGAAAGGCAAAGGTCACTAGATTATACTTCTTTTACCCGAATAAAATATGATCATGCCTTGATTTTTTTAGTATTTAACTAGGACAGTAATGTCTGACTTTTGCTTAGACTAAAGTTTCATCACTTAACAGAAATAATGTGCAGTATAGAAGCTAAAGTCATGGTGCTGTGGAAAAAATAATATTGTGTATGATTCCCCTGAGCTTGGACTACTGTATCCATACATCTCTGCAATGACTCAAATAACGGATTAATAAAGTCATCTGGAATGGAAAAGAAAGTGTTCTTGCTGGAGTCCCAGAGTTAATCGGGATTCTTTAGATTCATCTTTAATGCCTCCTCTTCATGTTTATATCTGGTGGCTGGGCTGGCCAATCCTGGAGCACTTTGACATTCTTGGCTTTCAGGAACTTTGATGTGAAGGCTGAAGTATGAGGAGGAGTGCTATCCTGCTGAAGAGTTTGCCCTCTCCTGTGGTTTGTAATGTAATGGGCAGCACAAATGTCTTGATACCTCAGGCTGTTGATGTTGCCATCCACTCTGCAGATCTCTCACATGCCCCCATACTGAATGTAACCCCAAACCATGATTTTTCCTTCACCAAACTTGACTTTTTCTCTTTGAGAATCTTGGGTCCATGCTGGTTCCAGTAGGTCTTCTGCAGTATTTGTGATGATTGGGATACAGTTTAACAGATGATTCATCTGAAAAATTGACCGTCTGCCACTTTTCGAAATGATCAACTAGAAGTCAAGTTGTTATTTGTTGCTCTTTCAACTGGGATTGACGACAAGACTTTTGTCAGGTAGTGTAGTTAAACATATATAGTGATCAATAGAAACATCTAATTTGAATGCATAATGTGAGTAAAACTATACATTATAGCTGTAGTTGACTAAAAAGAAGCAGCTATTCGTTTTTGAACAAAGTGACAACTTGTGATACGCTCCCTATATGTTTTACCATGCTACTTTGAATAGTTGGTCTGAAATTTGATGCAAGTATGACTTCAAAACAACATTTATTTGACTGTGAACAACGATGAGCTTGTTGGTTTGCAAACAATACTTTTCTGAAATTGTATTAAGAAAGTGAAATGCTGAATGTGCAGATATAAAACCAACTTAACTTATTAATCCACAACAATATGCTTGTGTTAATGAAGCACTCAAATTATGTATTTAAAAAAAAGATCAAATCATTTTAATTCTATATATTTTTTGATAAATTAACACATCTGTTGCAAATGAAAATTGTAGTTTAGTTGAGGAGGATCATTTTTGGAGGGCAGGCAGCTGTCAAATAGTTTCTTTTTGTGCCTTTAGGTAGTGTTTGACGAGTCGTTACAGGGGTGTTTGGACTCTTATTTGAGACACGCTCCCCGTGGTTTGGACCCGTTTGGACTCTCGTCCAGTCCAGCAGTGGCAGACATGCAGAGGAACATTCACCGCTCCATGTTCATGGTCTTCCTCAGGATGGCTACACACAAAGAGTCCAAGGTAAACATGATTTTATAAATGTGTATGTTTTTACATGAAATATATCCTGTAACTATAAAATGTTTTTATACAAGTCAGTGGCACATTCATAAAATTAAAATTTTATATTAACACTAATATCGTCAATTGTTTGTATAATTTACAGATTGTATAAATAAACAGATTCCTGTATATCTATGTTTTAGGATACTATTTATTAGCTTGAATACAATTATTTTGATTAAATGTGAATGTTTAATGTAAAATCTGAATTTTCGGCAACACAATACCAGACTTAGTGTCTCATGAGATGCTCTAATATCCTAAATTGGTGTTTAGGAAACTTTTTTTATCATCAATATTGAAAACTGTTGTGCTGATTAATAACTAACAGAAATTCACTGATGAGTAGAACATTTAAAGAAAAAAAAAAAAACAGCATTTAGTTAAATTAGAATTATTTCGTAACATTAGATTCTCAATTTAAAGGAGCTTATTATTCCCTGTTTTACAAGATATAAAATAAATCACTGATGTCCCTAGAGTGTGTATGTCATATATTAAGTTTCATATTAAGTTTATAATAAGTTTCAGCTCAAAATACCCCATAAATAATATTTTATAACTCTTTGAAACTGCCACTTTTAGGCTTTGATCCTATTTTTGCCATTTTGTTGACTGTCGATTAAATTCAAATGAGTCTTTGTTACAAATGTCTGTGTCAGCATAGTGGCAGATTCAAAAACAAGACTAGCATCCTATGCTAATGAGGAAGAGATTGTCACTGATGGATAGGACTTTCCCACCTCTGATGACATGTGCAAGGGGCGAATGTCAATTAAAAGTGTTTTAACAGACTGTTTTTTATGAAGTGTGATTATAAAAGAATAAAAAATCAAAATTTTTACCATTAGAAGCTGGTTATATTCACAGACTGTTGCCACACAACTGTGTTTTAACCTCTTTTAAAAGTGATTTTTAATAAGAGGTCCCCTTAAATGTATTCTTGTTAAATAAAGTTATTAATTCTTTATAAAATAATCTTACTTAGTCAAAAATTGGAAAGGTAGTGTAAATGTGTGCTGGTAGTTTTATATTAAGTTACAATAAATGTATATTGATCCTGATTTTAAAACACTGCTCTGTTGTCTTCCTTAGGAGCACTTCATTACCCCTGCAGTGTTTGCAGAGATTATTTACAACAACTATCTGTTTGACATTCCCAAAATTCTGGATCTGTGTGTTCTGTACGGAAAAGGAAATTCCCAACTGCTACATAAAATGATCGGTACACAAAATCTGTTAATATCACAGTACATTTTTAAAAAAACAACAGAGAAATACATAAATACCTTATTATTCTTTTTAAATAACTCATATTTATTACAGTGTTTACATATTTGAAACTTATCATTTCAATTTTTGCCCCAGACAACATTTTTACGCAACAGCCCAGTTATTATGGAGACCTAAATGAGACTATACCCTCCATCATCCAGGTACTTTATGAGATCATGTTACGTAATCAACTATTTTCATTGACTTAATTGTTTACAAGTCGTCTGAACTTCCGGAAATCTCTGCATGTGCTTTCTAGGTGTTTGATATAATATTACAGAAGTGTGGTATTCAGTCAGAGGACACAGGAGCCGGTCAGCCCCTAAAACTCAATGCTAACAGATGCCTAACTGCCATGACCATGCCAGAGGAGGTAAAATATAATAATAATAAAAAGTAATTATACACACATTAACTGACTCTGCCATCAGTGTCTTTTCTGGCAGATTAATATGCTTATAATTAAATATGCATCACTTTTATGTCTCTTAGGAGCTTGCAGACTTGGTTTCTTACATGTGTGATACCTGCACTACTATCCATTCTTTCCTGGACATCTTCCCTGAGGCTTGTTCTACTTTCAAACAGCACAACTTTCTTAACAGGTGACAAATACACATCCACATCCTGGTATTAAGATGCCTATTGTCCATTAAATGATAAATGGGCGATGCTGAATATAGATGTGAACATGATTGAAAATGAAATGAAATTTTGTATTTTTATTATATTTAGTTTATTATTATTATTATTAATTTATTTTTTTAATCTGTCCCATTTTGAACACTTGCAAAAGTAGACAATAACCTAACTGATTCAATTGCTTTCATAGTAAAAAAAAACAACATTTAGAATAAGTGGGTCTTGAGCTTGACTTTAAAAAGTGGCAATATATTTATAGTTGTCTAAGCTTATTTATATTGAGCACTGACACTTATCTCTGTTTTTATGTATTGCTGTATTTTATTGATATTTCTTGTATTGCTTTTTTTTTTTTTTTGCATTGTTTGCTTTTTAGTTGTGTTGTATAATTAGTTTTTACTGGTGTAAAGCACTCTGGTCAACCTTGATTGTAAAAAGAGCCCGGTTTTTCAACAGGTTCAATACGGATAAAATTCGTCCAGATTTAGTAATCCATTTTTTCCTTTCTGTGATCACGTAACCCAGCTTACTTTTTGAGCCAGTTTTTCTAAGCAACATTGGATTGGATCAATCTGATCTGTATAGGAACTTTTCAGGATCACTAAATTTGGATAACTAGTACTCAAACAGAATAGGAAATCAGAATGTAGAACCATAGATATGTAAAGAGCAACAAGTAGAATAGCCAGTGTGGCTTTATTTTTATTTGAAATGAAAACACACACATTAAAAAAAAAAAAAACTAAAAACGATAAAAACCCCACCCCGTCATCTTCAAGCAGTTCGCTCATCTGAGACCTACAACACAAACACTGTACATTGAGGATATTTATAACAAGTTTCAAATATAGATGTATTGAATTAATGTCAAAAACTCCACAATAATTTTAGACTTCCTCATCTGTTGTGGAGAGACCAGCTTGTCTGAGCGTAGCCTTTAGGAGGCGGATCTCCATTCTGGCCTTGGTTTGCTGCAGTTTGGTCAGAGTCTGTTCTGCACTTTCAGTCTCTTTTTGCAATTGTTGAAAGTGATTTCAAAAATCAGTGATTGCATTCTTTGCCTTTTTTCAGTTATTCTGTAATCATTGCATGCATCACTAATAAATATTCTAAAAAGGAAAATATTTTTCATTGTGATGAATATATATCAATTAGTGACAGAATAAAAGGGGGATTATTTTATGAGGCCAAACTCTTCTTACTTTGATGTACATTAAAGCCTACCTAATCACTGTAGCCTGATGGATGAACAAATACAATTAAAACCGTATCAATAAATATGATATTTTTTGAAAGATACTGCATAATCCAAATATAGTATTGTTTGATACATTTTTAAAGTTTTAATTAGATTTTGGGTATGAAATCCACACTGAATCCACCCTTCTGATAGGATCAGTTTAATCCAGATTTTTTGTCTAAATCTTAAAAAAAGGGCTGAAAAACCCAAACTAAAGGTTTGACCCAGATCAAAACCAAGATTGGATTACATGATCTAATTTAATTACGTAATCCATTTTTTTCTTTTGAAAAACCCATTTTCAAGATTTGATTCAATCCCTTATCCAAAATCCTGGTGGATTACTTTTGAAAAACTAGGCCCAAGTGCTATATAAATAAACGTTGATTGATATATTAGGAGTGCAACGATATAGACTTCTCGTGGTTCTGTCATGTGAAATTGTCTCCTACTTTAGTGCTGATGGGACATTTACTTGCTGTGTTTCAGCGTATGGACATGCAGTTTACAGAGTAATTAAAGAAATGGGGTACTTGCAAAATACATATGCATATTGAACCGTGAAGGCCAAATTGAACAGTTCAATATTATACAGAGTATTGCGGCATCCCTAATATGTCATGATATAGTACCTTTTCTGTAAATTCAGTCATTAATAGTTTTAGTTTGGATTTAGAAATATAAAAATTACAATTACTGAAATATAAAATACTTTTCAGAAACTAATGATTACAGGTTCAGCATAAAATGTTGCCAAATAAAAAACAAAATTTTAAAATTGTGGTCAAAATGCTGTCATTCCAACGCAGTCTCATGCCAGTTTGTAACTTTTTGTTATAATGGTTAATTTGAATTAATTTATATCACCTTATTCATAAAATGAGGGGTGGGGTTAGGGGTGTGGTATGGGGACACGCCTTCTTTTAAAAATGTTATGTTTTCAAACAAATTAAGTCATACGAATTAGCCACTTTTCTGACAATACGTAAAATATTCACGTTTCCTCATGAGATTAGGCTTGCTATTCACATTTATGCTTGCATTCCCAAGATGGCATGTAAAATTGCTGTCATCCAAATGATTACAAACTATTACCGTAAACAGTGTATATTGAGTTTAAGCTTAATATAACATGACAGACTTTTTATTTTTTCCATACAATATATATTTTCATATTACACAGGCCTAATGTAACAGATTTGTTGACTCGTGCATCACAATGAGCATAATGAAATAAGAAAACCATCTTGACAAAATTAAGCATTTGCAAGTTGGGCTGTGCAATATCATTATGGACAAAATAAAAAGTCTATCGTTTCATATTATGCTCTTGTTTATGTCATGGTGGCTCAAAATACATTGTTTACTGTAATACTTTTTTCATCATTTATATGAGTGCAGTAAAAATGTAATCATTAGTATTTGAAAATAGTTTTATATTTTAATAATATTTATTTTATTTATCTACATTTTTTTAATCAAACATTTGCCCTCAAATTCTAAATAAATAAAGTGAATATGATCATATTTGAATCAATTTCTGAGCATATACGTTAAAATGTAAAAAAGAAGGAAGCCATACAGTTGGAGATAACAAATTGTAAAATTCTTGCATCAGATGTTAAATCTGGTTTAAATCTGTTTAGTAATGAGAAATGGCAAACGGAATGGGATGAATGTAGAAACAACAAATTATATGAAATATATCCATCTGTAAATGAAAGAAATAATTACTATTTTGAAAATAAACATGATCAGGTTGCACCCACGAAATGCAGAATCTGCCACTCAAGACACATATTTATTGAAAGGAAACGAAAAAGCTAATACTTTCACAATAAAGCATTTTAATAGAATGTGTATTTTTAAATGATATTAAAGAACGTTTTTATTCAGGAAATGTTTAAAAGGTGTGTTCTGGAGGAATTTTAGAATATTATTAATCAAACTAAAAGATTGTATATGACTCTTTTCAGTGTTGTTGTTGTTGTTATGTGTATATCTTTTGTATAATGAATGCTTATTAATATGTCGATATGCTTGAATGTTTTACATTGTAAATATCAAGTATAGGTTTTTCCATGAATATAGCCAATGCTGCTGATATGAAATTAAAACATAAACAAAATAAATAAGTAAATAAACAGTAAAAAGAAATAGTTTTTTTTACATGTGGTCAATATATATAAACTATTAATTTATTTAATTTACAAAAAAATTGTGATACATATTATTATAAATCATCCTTATCTTATTTATCTTACCTTATCTTAATGTTACAAAATATTGACCGGAGCCTCTCTGAATGTAGATTACCATCATTTTATGAGATGGCAGTTCCAGACCTGGAGAAAGCAGTGAAGAAGAGGAATTTCGATAAAAGGTTAGAATAGCAAACTTGACTTCTCTTTTTGATGAATTTGTACAGATTAAACCTTAAACTTGTTGCACTCTGTCTCAGTTTACAGGAGGACATGTGGAGACGAGTATCTTATTCTAGAAAGAAAATGGTGGAGATTGCTCACCTGCTGCTCCAGCACGCGTGTTTACAGCCCATACTGGAGGGGTACATGATTTTAGAGCTGATTAGACAGGCAAAGATTGGAATGGATACCAGATATTCTTGTCTTAACACAAAGCGCTGATTATTTTCACAGCTCTGAAAATGTGGCATCCTTTGTAGAAGATCTTCTACAGAACTTCACAACTTTCCTTCAAGAGAAAAGGTAAATGATGTTTATGTGTTTTAATGGTTGTGTATCAATATGTTAAAGGTGTGCAATGTTGCCAGACGTTGCTGACTTTTTCCAGGCCAAAAGCTGTCCAAAACCCGCCAAAACATACAAAAAACATACAAAAATGTATACTTTATTTACTTTTAGTTTATTTAAATCGAAATTAACCTAGATACTTTAACTGTTATAATTTTTAACAATTCAGCAACCAACACCAGCCGTTACAGAATCACAACATAAGTGGATCACATCATAACACTGCCCCCTCTCACACACACAAACTGCACTAATGTTAGAGTATGTTTTACTTTAGAAATGGGGTATAAATTTGACCTATTTGGTGTTTACATTTTTTAGGAACATAATAAGGTGCTGCTTGTCAATCAGACAGTACTTCTATGTTTGTTCTTGCTGTCAATGAATTATTTGATTTAATAATTTTATAAAATGTTTTTTATAAAATGTATTACTTAAAAAAATAGAATATTAAATTAAACATTAAATAATTAAATTTATTTTTTAATTTTATTGAATTTATAAGTAAAGCATTAAAAATATTTTTTATATTAGCTGTCTTTCCAAATATTAACAAACAAACAAGCCAAATCACAAATGTGAAATAATAGGGTATATGCCGAGCTAGTGTTGTTCCCATACTAATAAACTTCCGGTGACCTGTAAATGTGAGTTTTTTTCTATTTTATGCGGTTCCTTTTACAGCATCGATGTTGTAATGTCATTAAAATACAATCAGTTAAACAGATTTTGGTATTTATTTAGTTGCTCAAGCGTAAAACGAGGACAAAAGCTGTTTACCCGCACTTGCCCGTCAGAATCGGCAGGCTAGCACAGAAGCTCCATTTAATATACTGCGGTAAAATAACTGATCATGTTATAAAGACATGGTGGGAAAATGTAATTTAATGCGGTGCTTTTTGTACAATCTGAGACCCACTTTATAACGGATATCACTCTGCCAGTGGAGATCGCTGATTTTTAAGTAAAACAGACCTTAAATGTGCCGATTTTGCAATGGCATTCAGTTCACCGGAAACGATTAACCCAGGCTACTGGCAAATTAAAAGTCCTATTAGCATGCTTCAGCATATACCCCATTGAATTATACTGCAGTTCAACAAATTAAAAAGTCATCGCTAGGTTACATTTTAGACACAACAATGTCTGTTATTTTATGTTTCGACCATATACTGTAAATAATTCCATACAAACAAGTCCAGAATATCTGTGCATCTCAGAGCTGCAGGATTTCATTCCTAAAGGATTGTTTTTAAACCAATTATTTGAGTCAGTGATCCAATAATCCTTTCATAAATACATTCACTTGCATTGTTGCTAAAACAACTGTTTGTCTGTTTGCTATCTATCAGATTCCTGGCTGATTATGATGAACAGTTCCCTTTAGCAGATGACATCAGTCTTCTTCAGCAGGCCTTTCCTCATTTGTATCCTTACTATTGGAACACTGTATGCTGGTTTTGGAATAATAGGGAGAGCGTTCTGTCATTTTTAAGCTTCTACTTCATAATTGATGATCTCAGTAACTCCAGAAATAACCCGACGTGTAATTGTTTTCCTGCATACTTTAGAATTAACGACACGTACATTATTGCTCATTTCCTGCAGTACCAGTATCTAATAACTACCAAGTACAAAGTTTACTGTAGCAGCAGGATATAAAATTCTCCTTAATCTGCTCGCTCAGAGATGAGACCAGGACTTCTTACCTGTTGCAAGGTGTAGAGTCTGCCTGGGAGAGTGTGGGGAAGAAGAGAAGCTTCCCCTCTGTGATCTCCTCGTCCAATCACAGAGCAGGAGCCAAGAGCAAGACTGGCAGAGATTTAGCCGCTTCTCCGACAGAAGGAGCAGGAGTTTCAGGGGTCAGAGAAGAGTTAAGAGGAGCAGAAGCAGTGTCTTACACTCCCCGTAAGGGTGACAATGTGAGTTCATTAACTGGTAAAAAGTCTGTGACGGTGATGATAATAGTATTTTAACCACCATTTGGTCATTTTTTAAAGTGTATAGTGTTTTGAAATGCACTTTTTTTTGGAAATAGGCTGATTTTTACAGCTCTCCTCTGGCCCGTTTCCACTAACAGGTGCAGTACAGTCTGGTATGGGTTGGTACGGGTCACCTTTATCAGGCTTGTGTTTCCACTGCCTAAATGGTACCAAGCGTTCAGCTGCGCATGTATCTCCGCCTTTTGGTATCCTTTTGCTGTGATAGGTAATCTTTGCAAAGTGTACCCAAAAACTGGCATGGTACAGTTTGCTTTGAGGTACTTTTGGACAGTGGAAACAGCTATAAAAGCGAACCAAACCATACCGTGCCATACAAAAGCAAGCTCCTGATTGGGTAATGCGGCGCTAATGTCCGCTGAATTTCAGATTTTCCAACTCGAGTGATTTGTGTGTCAAACACACAAAATGCTCAACTCGTGCCTCGTCATTCATGCGAATCGCATCATTCGTGCCACCTTATTTGCACAAATTGCACAGCAGGATGTCTATTTGTGTCTTTGCATTGACTTAACATTTGTAAATCACTCGCGCTTGACGCTTCATCCGCGTCTGGTGTGAACGCCACATAATACCTGCTGCAGCCATGGTAAAGTTTTTTGATTATTACTCCAGAATGCGAGTATATTTCCTAGCCATATCATCATATTCATTTTATGTCAATCTTAGCACTTGATGTAACTACAGAAGAGTCAAGCCTTTTCTATTTTTGAATTATTTGAGCGACATGCTAATAGTCTAATCTGATTCAACGATTTATGCTAAGCCAACCTAAAATTGCTTCTGCAGACAAGGAGATTGGTTGAATAAATTAATAAAAATGATAAAACGCAACTGTTTAACTCAAAGGGACTTGTAAAACTAGTCTATTTCCAAAAAAAAATGAAGTGTTCCTTTAAAAATTGCATTCCTCCTTTTGTTTTGTTTTTGTCTGGTGTTTAGGGTGCAGTGTGCACCGTGAGTGCTGGAGAATTAGAATCTCTGCTGTCCCATATCCGAGACCTGCTTCCAGACTTGGGAGAGGGATTCATACTGGCATGTTTGGAAGAATATGGCTACAACTCCGAACTTGTCATTAACAACATCCTAGAAGATAAACTAGCTCCTTCTCTTGACAAACTAGACCGGGCAATGGCCAGGTAAAGTATAAGATACAACGATTTATAACACTTTAGAATGGGATCACATTGGTTAGTGTTAGTCAATGCCTTAACTAAAATGTAACTAACAGTGAGCAGTTTGTTATTTATTAGTTTGTCTTACTGTTAATTCATTTTAATTGAATTAACATCATTTAAAAAAGTATTAAAGTTAATAAATCAATTATGAGAAAATGAAGGCTCTTAAAAGGTATTAAAAAGTCTTAATCACAGTTTTATGAGGTCTTAAATTTTGTTTAAGCGTTGTCCAAAGTGTTTGACTCCAAAAAAGCATATGATATATTTATTTTTCTCCTAATAATAACAACGCCGTGCTCAATCCACTTGATTGGTTCGGGCCAGGACACTTCCAGCCTAGCTCCTTTGTCTATGTGATGTCACGTAATTTGTGACCATTGCGGTAAAGTGATGTGACACTCTCCATATGTAGCGAAACAGACGGTAAAATGGGAAAACGTATGTTTGCGTACTCCTGGTTGGAAAAAGATGGGTTTAAACAGTGGCTGAAGCCTGTCGCTGAAAACAACCACGTAATTTATTCTTTCAAGCTTTGTTTCCTTCGAGCTTATCTGAGTTCTGTTGGATGGTTGTGCTCCATTGATTTATTTAACTACAACTGTTTATTAACAACTGTTTAAAAGTTTGATACTGATTAGAACTTGTGACAAGGTCTTAAAATATTCTGAAAAGGTCTTTAAAAAGTCTTAAAAAGGTATTGAAATTACCTTTAGGATTCCTGCATATACCCTGTTTTAGCTCAGGCTCTGTAAAAATAGAGTGGAACAGTCAGGTTGCAGAAATAAAAACTCAATTTTCTTCATAGCGATTTTTTTTTTTTTTTTTTTTACATGTTTATGTCAGAAAAAATAAATTTTTATGTCAGATTTACATTTTTCTTTTTGTCAGATTTCTCTTATGCTATTTTGCTTCAATCAAGGTTTGTAATTTATTATTATACAGCCAAAAATCTAATTATTTAAATTAATTTATTAATTTATTACTTTTTCAAATATTTCCCAAGTTCTGTTAAACAGAGATTTTTTCAACACCTTTTTAATAATAAAAGCTGTTTTGTAACAGCTATAAATAATCAAGGCATACATTGAGTTGGAGGTCGCCTGGCAAACGCAACTCTTCATTTAGACATGAAATATCCTGCCATTCTTCCAAGAAAAAAATCATTTTTCAGCATTACTAATCAAACATCATGAACGAGTACAACATCAAGGGCGATGAATAACCGTGAATGAACTTCAGTCCAACGGTATTTGGATTCTTGGATGCAGTAGTGCTGTTTCTTGTCACATATACAAATGCTTGAAGTGTAGGAAATTCAGAAGGTGTGTAGAAGAGCAGAAAATGGCTGATCTCCCTGAAGATCGTGTACAGCCAACTCCACCTTTACTCTTATGAGGGATGGATTGTTTTGGACCTTTTTATGTTACCGATGATTGAAGGAAACCCAAACATTATGGGTTGTTGTTGACCTGTATGTGTTTCAGAGCCATACACATTGAAATTCTTGATGCTCTGTCTACTGATGCATTTATTAATGCTCTCCACTCCGTCATAGCCACTCGTGGAACAGTTCGCCAAATTCGATGTGATCAGGGTACAAACTTTTTGGGGGCAAACAGAGTATTTATGAGCACATTGAAAACAAGGGATCAAAGGCAGATAAAGAAACAAGCATGAGAGTTGATAATGACCATCCCATCTGCAAGTCATATACGAGCTGTGTGGGAAAGACAGATTCGTACCGTAAGAAATGTTTTGACTTCTGTCCTTGACCAATCTCCTGGGGCACTTGACAGTACTTTCCGGCGAACTCTTTTGTATGAAGTTATGGCTAGGCTCACACGGAATCTACAAATCAGCAGATTTCCTCCAATTTTTAGCCTATCGAGTTAATTGTTTTACTTGTGTAAATTTAGATTCATTCAGCATTTAAATGACCCTCTAGGTCCAGAACTTCTTGCATCGAATCATATCTTGACGATGAAATCCACAATTGTGGAACCACCACCTGGAGTTTGTTGAAGAAGATCTTTATCTCCGTGATTAATGGCGTAGAGTGCAGTATTTAGTCAACAACGTCTGGTATATGTCTGATGTCTTCTGATCGGCCTTTTATGTTGAGAACTGAAGAATTAATGTGAAAAATAAACCAGTCGGTAGAAATAAAGCCTCTTGCTCGTTTGTTGTTGGAGGGAGCTACATACAGTAAGCTGTTTTGTAACAATTTTTTTATTTATTTATTTATTTTTGCCATGATGAGTGTATATAATATTTTACTAGTTGTTTTGCGAGATTAACTAGGTTAATTAGGCAAGTTAGGTTAATTTGGTAAGTCATTGGGCAACAGTGGTCTGTAAGAAGGCTAATAATATTGACCTTCGCAGTTGTTTAATTCCAGTAAAACTACAAGAAATAAGACTTTCTGTTGAATAAAAATTTATTAGGAAATAAGGTTTCTTTAGGGTTTAATTCATGTCTTCTTATTGGCTCTTAATGTTGTCCTACAGGCCTGTGAAGAATGAGCTTCCCCCTGTTTTGAGCACTAGATCAAACGTGTTTGATGATGATGAGTTTGACGTGTTCAACCGAGACCGTCTAGACATGAGTCGCATCTGGAAAGGCCGGAGGTAAATTCTGTTCCAACCCATCCTGCTTAATGAAACATTACCCATTCTGCCCTGCAGTGTGATATTAGTCATATTACTTAAAAAGCTACCACAGAATATTTATGCACATCCACTTGGTCAGGAGAAAAATAACATCTGACAAGTACAGCGTAAACAGAAATCAGGGCATTATAAAATATGCAACTGGAAACGATGTTTGTGCAAGCAAGAAACTGAAAAATCTCTGTGTACTTCAGACAGGGGGAGAGTGTTCGCGCTACGCTCGATGACAAGCAGCACATAGAAGAGCAGAGAGCCAGATATCAAGCCTACCAGACCGTGGTGGATGAGATTCCCATAGCGAATAACCCTTCTGGAGACCAGGATAATGCTTTCGGCCTGGATGATTATGACGATGATTATGATGACACGTACGATGCCAACCAAATAGGAGCCAATGATCTGGATGAAGAGGATGAATTATTGAACCGCAGGTATATGAGCAGTTACACAGAGTTCTTTTCTACTTCCTGTTTGCATTTACAATTATGGATATCTAGGGGAACACGACCTGCACCAAACATCTTCCCTAAGTTAGAATCATTAGCGTTTATATCAAAAGTGACATTTTAAGGGCTCTCTGCAGCTGTCTGCTATAATTAAAGCACACTAGCTTAACTAACAAACACTTTTAGGACTTAATGGTATTATAGATACATAATGTTATTTTTTCCCAAATTAGTGTCTTCAATCTGTTTAAGACGCATGTAAGGGCCGACGATTGGCTGTTGGATTTTGTCGGTTAGCATTGGTCTGGCTAGTTGGTTAGGTTTGTTCCACACGTCGCCTCTCGTCAGATTAACGTTGGAGCTCATTGGCCCTATTCAGCCTATAGACCATTTTGAGGGATGTAAACAAAAACAATGGTTCTAACGTTTTTCCTGTTTTACATTTTTCATTTCTATAGCTTTCGAGAACTCAAAAAGGCCCGCATATTGATGAATAATGTTATAATAGCTGTTTTATCATAAGCTTATTATTGAATTGCCTCTTGGTACAGTTATGAAATAATTTGATAACAGCCGGGAATTGTTCATGAGCCAATGACATGACCAGACTGAAATTGTCTAAAGAATCAGCGTCACCTGAAGTGAGAGTGAGAGCTCTGACTGATTATTCAGCAACAAATCAGAGCACGAGTGTGACATAGTGAAGTGTCACAGCACGTAAACAATTCATGTCAAGAAGGAACACAAAGACACCAGCTGTAAATTAGCTCTATTTCTCATATATTTGCAAACGATATGGATTATTAGATTATCAGACAAATTGCAGGAGCGAATCCCTCAGTGTTGACTGACAATTAGTGTGATAATGGTAGTAAATGCTGCATTGTTTACACTTTGCACCGGTTCGTTGGAAGTTCCGGTTGCCCATGGTCAACAAGAAAACAGACTACTTTCATCCACGGGTTCGGAAGGACACGTCCTTCCATGCAGATGCAGAATGCATTTGTTCGTTTTAGTCACCTACTGTCTGTTTGGTGTGTTCACGGACAGCTTTTTGGTGCAGACGGAACCAGACGCGGTGTCAACACGGTTAGGATTCACTGGCGCTAGTTGTTTGGCATTCACTTGGTGTGTACTGGCCTTAAAGCAACCAGTCAGTTTGTGTCAAATTTAACCAAAAAGAAAAAAGCTTTCACCACACAATGTGCTTTGTTTGCTAGTTTGTGTTTCTTGCGCCAATAGTCTTGGGGACTGTTTCATAAAAGTCGTTTAGAAAAGCAGGGATTAAAGTCAAAAACCTGACTTCAATGAGCCGATCTAAACATCCACACTTAAATTAGTTCTATAACAGCAAGTTGAAGATAAGCGATCTAACTAATTTGAGTTCAGTTTAAATAATCTAGATAACTGTTTGTGGGCGTTACAGTCGTGAAACCCTAAAGGTCTAGCATAGCTGCATGGATTATTTTGTATGTTACCATGACAACTACAGTGAATGAAAGAGCTCTGAAATGAGACACAGCTATGTTCATAGCGAGTGAGCAGCGTTTGTTTTTAAGAGTTCAAACGTATAATAATTTAAACATTAGCTTGCCAAAAAGGAAGAGAGAAGGCAGACAGGAAATTCGTTTTTTTTTAAATATAGGCCATTATTTAGGCCTATTAACGTTAAATTAAATATTTGTCACAATACATTGAAATTGTATATACATTATATTATTTAGTACCAAAGCAAAATTTGGAACTAATATAACAAAGCATAAACTCAGATCACAGAAAAAGAATCAACAGAAAAAAAAAAATCGAATTTAGTTGAAATGTTGTAGCTTTTTTTTGTCTGCAATAACTTATTTAAATTTAAATGTTACATTCTGTTCTTAAATATGTTTAGTTTATATATCTTTACTATTAAATGACTATAAATCTTTAATAATTTTTTAGAGGATAAGTAAATTTAAATGGCATCAAAATATGGCTGGTGAATGTTAACATTACTTTGATTAAGCCTGAACTTAAGACTTAGCCTGAGAGTTAGCCTGCCTCGGAGCGGGCTGGTTTTCCAGCATAAGTTGCCAGAGTAACTGAACTATCGTAAATTTGATTTATGAAACCAAATCTGCCTTTAATAAACTTGACTTACCAAAATAAGCCTGGCTTTTTTCTAAGCTTGGTTTATGGAACAGACCCCAAGGCATGATGTTTGAGCTTAGATTATATTTTAATATTTTTTATTTTGTTCTGATACTATGATGATAACTAATATAGTCATATTTTTACTAAAATGTAATAAAAGCACAGTGACTTTTTTTTTTTTTTTTTTTTTTTACAAATTAGTTTGTATTGCTGTCCCATGTTATTGGAAAAATCCTCATGCCTTGGAAAGCTAATTTATATTATAATTATTTTTCAAGGACTCTCAAGCTAACACCTGTGTATTCTTCTTTTAGGCCGTTTACTATCCCACAAGTTCTCAGAACAGGCAAACAGGTTCAGGAGTTTGATGACGACGTGGAGGAAGATGAAGAGGACAAGGTTTGAATCAGTGATCAGACACTTTATCTGTTATAGAACCATAATGAATTTTTGAGTGATCAATGGAGCATTTAATCACTAACTTATTCTGGAGACTGATTAACTTTGCACAGAATGCACTTTTTCATTCATTGGCAATGATCTTGACCTGTGTCATTTTGATCAGAATGAGGCTGTGAAGAAGAATCACTTCATCCAGGACCCAGCTGTCCTTCGAGAGAGAGCCGAGGCCAGGAGAGCTGCTATGCAAAGCAGGAAAGGGTAAGTTGGAGAATACAGCGTGTCTGGAATATTAGACAAATATAAGCCCGGTTTCCAGTTTCCTTAAATTACTTTCACTCTCCACATCTCGCTTTCTAAAAATCTTAACCAGACATAGACAGACCTGATAAGGTTGATCAAGTCCAACCTGACAGCAATTATTTTCTAAACCTGACTGGACCTGAAAAATAAACTTGAATTAAATCTATAATAAATCATAGATTCACTGGTGTTGTCTGCAACACTATTTATCTTATTTCCATCAATCAATTTCTGTACACAAAAAAGTGAAGAGCCACCTATATTTTTTTTTTATCAAACAGGTTGACAATTTGTGCGAAGTTTAAAAAATTACAAATGAATAGCATCAATTCACTATTTTACATCAATAAATTGTACATGTTAAAACTAAAGAATTCTGTGAATTTGGAGGAGACATTTGATTATGAGACATTGCTTCTAGATGGTGCCATTTTACTCGTGCTATTCAAAGTGAATGATCAAAGTAAAAGAGGGGGGGGGGGGGGGGGGGGTTCGTGGCTCTTTAATAGTGGGTATTACGATGGCTATAGTCGAAGTGAAGTGTAGTTACCCATACTTGAAAATTGTCCTCTGCTTTTGACCCATCCAAGTGTGCAATATGGGCTTAGATGCTTTGTTCAAGGGCACCTCAGCAGGTTATCGAAGATGGAGAAAATACAGTTTTATTTCTGCCAGGACCGGGAATCAAACCTGCAACCGTTCGATTACAAATTGCCAATTTGCATTACTTATTAACTAATCAACAAAGCATGAATCAAACCGGACATTAATTGACTTTGTTTTTATCTGACAGCTACAGACCGCCACCAGCAAGTAATGTGGTAGGGGGGCCAAAGGGACGGGGTCAGACGCAGGAGACCATTCAGGACCGTCGTAGAAAGGAGGCATCCAAGAGCAGAGGAGCCAATCACAATCGCAGATCAATGGCTGACAGGAAACGGAACAAGGGCATGATCCCGTCCTAAGACTTTTACAAGAGCACAGGTTTTTAAGAGCTGAAAAAGCAGAAGGAAAATACTCGAGGTTTGAATGTATCTCTGCTTTTTTATAAGATCAAGACACAGGGGGCACGGTCTATTACATAGGCCTGCTCTTTCTTTGATTGATTATGAGTTTCTGTTCTGAAGTATAAATTAACATGCAGAGTTGAGAGTTTGAAGTGCTTCATAAAATACACAGGGATGTGTGAAATTATAAGGGAACAAGTGAATATATTTTTAGAACTCTTAGTTATTGTATGACATGAAGTACGACAGTCGTATCTTTTGCTGTGTAACAAGAGTTTATTGAACAGATGAGAGGTTCAAACAGTTATTGCACTGTTAAGGAAAATTCAATAAATAATAAAGGAACATCAGGTTTGAGAATGCAGCATCTAAAGTAAATTTGAGAATCAACTCTACAAAGGATGCCATACATTACACTAGTGAAGCAAAAATAAGATCGTGCTCCAGTTCTTTAAAGGTTCAGAAAGCGATTAAGACTTGACCTAAGAGCAGTCTTTCGAAAAGCAACTCCGTTTGAAGTTGTGCAGACTGCAGCGTCCGATTTCAACACATTAATCATACTGTGCCAAAGGCTGTGAGCATCCGTCACTCCGGAGGAGAGTGATGTCACTTTTCTCATATAGACTTTCAACAGGCAATGTTCTCTTGCCTTGTAGGACAATATATTTCTACTTACTAAGATAAAATCAAAGCATTTTGTAAGAGAAAGCATATTTAAAAATGCTTCTGAAATAATAGTACAAACATTAGGAATATAAAACATAAATAAATACTGTTTATAAGACTGCGTGTTTCTCTTTGTGTTTAATACATATATATTTATTTATTTTGACATACTGGTTGTCTATCTTTCTTCCAACCTGAGATATCAGACTGAAGCATAATAGCTGGGCTGAGGAAAGTTCCTCACATTTGGCATAAGCAGAAATTGTGATTCCATTTAATTAAATGCTCTAATTGACTGCCTTGAAATTCCTATTCATATCATTAAGTAGAATTATATGCAGTTAGCTATGATGTGTTTTCAGTTGGACTAAAGCAGTGTTTCTCAACCACGTTCCAGGAGGACCACCAGCTCTGCATATTTTCCATGTCTCCTTAACCAAACACACCTGATTTAGATGTTCAGCTCATTAGCAGAGACTAAAAGATCTGTTTTGCTGCGGTCACACTAGAGTTTGTGCGTGAAATTCTGTTGTATGGTGCTGAGAAAAGGGGATTAAACAAGATGATTAGACATTTAAAAAAGCCAGCGATTGGTCCATGATTTACATTCCTGTCCAGAGAGGTCATGTTTTGATCTTTGATTGGTCTCATGCAATCATGTGATGTGATTTCACAGGTCAGAGTTCACCAAGCTTGAACTTTCCAACGCAGCGCACTACGAAACTTGTCGCACGAGCTTGTGTTTCTGGTCTGAAGCATTCGCGTGCATATGAATGGAAGTCTATGGGGAGAAAAGTGCAATTTGATTGCAGCTTAATGGGTGTGACATACAATAGAGACATCAAAAACATGCTGTACTGTTGGTCCTTCAGGAATGTGGTTGAGAAACACTGGACTAGAGTGTTATCATGCTGGAGGAAGTTGAGCAATGATTCTTATTTTATTCAGCAAGGGTGCATTTTATTTGATCGAATGCAAATTAAAACTACTGTAATGTCAAATGTTATCAAAATATTTAAAAAGGAATTTGAGTGTCACCTGGGGTCTCATTTATAAATGTGGCTTATGCACAAAACGGGGGTGGAAACGTTTACTTAAACGCTAAATTTATGATCTATAAAAAGCAAACTTAATGGGAGAATGTGCACAGCTGAAAGTGAACTTCAATTTAAATTTAACTTAAATATTTAAAAATTCAATGGAACTAACAAATTAAATGTAACTTTAAAAATAATAAAATTTTACTTCAATATTCAAATGATGATACGAGGTGTAATCATAAATAAATAAATAAATAAAAATTCTGCTGTACGTTCATTTTTAGCTTTTTTTTTTACGCCAAGTTTTACAAATGAGACTCCCGATCCTACTGAAATTAATCTGAACACATTTGAATAACTTGCAGTAGTATTTCTATATAAGCCAGGTTTTTTTTATTTAGAAATCAGCATTCATATGCAATTTAAATATATATTTTTAAACATTATAAAGATTTTACTTGGCTTTCATCATACAATGCATCCTTGCTGAAGTATACTTTATTTCCCTGAAGCATAATGACCACACTTCCGCACAGTTTTGGTTAATTAAACTACACACAGACCTAAATTAAAGTCAAACTACAGCATTCATATGGCATTTTTATAAGACAATTTGGAAATCCAAATTGACAGGAACTTCTGAAATTCATGTAAATATACCTCTAGTCCATTTAAGTCATCTTAAAGGTAACAACAATGTTGCGATAAGGAATACTGATACTCAAATGTTTTGTTTGCTACAAGTTTTCACTACTGGCTGGTTTACTGTAACAGAACTGATTAATATAACCCTTTCTCACCTATTTGATGCTACTGACGGATCTGGTGGTTTAGTCACTGAACATGACAGGCAAAGGGGGAAAAAAAAACAAGATGGTGCTTTTTTTTCTTTCTAGATTTAGCAAATCAAAGCCACATCATGTTCACAATTTAACAACAAATTACTACACTGTGGCCAAGATTTAAAAAAAAAACAAAGAAATGTATAAATAAAATGTGGCCATATTATTTTTTAATTATCTTTACGTTTAGATTTATACTTAAATAAAAACAATCTTGCCGGTTATGCACAGGACCTCAGGTAAAAATTATTTTTAGAAACATTTTACATGACCTCAAAACTTCTCAATAGCAAGACTTAAAAGGAGCTATATGTAAGAATGTTTGTGTATAAATAAAATTTGGTGTATTCATTTTTTATTGGCTTGTAATTTAACATAAAACAAGACCTTTAACTGAGCATCCTATATTGTCTATAAAAGCCTGTAGATTGCTTTTTATCTAAAAGACTTTGCCAGGAAAATCTAAAATATCATGTTTACATAATATAATATCTCTTTTTTTTTCTCTAAAATATGAAACAAAAGCTTACACAGTGTTCAAGATGGTTCCAAAAAGCCATTCAGTATTGTAATGGCAATGCAAATAAAATGATTCAACTACTGTCTTACATAGCCTGATCTATAGCCTCAAATATACTTCATAAATTATCTTAACAGTGTAATTTTACTTATCTCGTATCAATGTGATGCCAGTGATTTGCAGAACTTCTGCAAACATATCCATATTGCTATGATCGGATACTTTTTTAGCTATTGTTTACTCGCTGCCGTCATTTTATTTATAGAGAGAAAAAGAGTCATTAATGTTTCAGTAGAATTATGTTACTGCAAAAAATGTTGCTTCTAAAATCCTAAAAACTAAAACTTTGCTAGTAATATATCAGGGCACAGAATCATGTTCAGTCTATTGTTTGTAACAGTGAAAAAGTAAGATCCTATTGAATTTCATGGTTCTATATGGTGCTTGGCCGGTCTATAGACTTGGAAGACGAACCCTCAGTTGATCACATGACATCTCGCAACATACCATTATTTATTTAACCAAAGTAGAGCCAAAATAGAAAGACCATAGGTGACAAACTTAGGACACCCTATTATTCATATGCCTGTGGATCTTCTTAACTAAAGCAGCAGTTAAAGGAATAGTTCACCCAAAAATCAAATGTTATTCATTATTTACTTATCTTTAAGTTGTTCCAAACCTTTATTAGTCTCTTTCTTCTGTTAAACATAAATTTCGATATTTTGAAGAAAGCTGAAAACCGGTAACCATTGACTTCCATTGTAGGAAACAAATAGTATGGAAGTCAATGGTTACAGGTTTCCAACACTTACTAAATAAGTTATTTTGTGTTTAACATAAGAATGAAACTCAAAACTGTTTGAAACAGGTAAAGGGCAAGTAAATGATGACAGAATTTTCATTTTTAGGTGATCCATCTCTTTAAGTAATCTCTCAGATCATTCTGAAGAAGTTTTCAACAGGTTTTAGTAAGGTTAAGGTCTGGACTTTGACTGGGCCATTTCAACCCCTTGATTTTTGTTCTTTTCTAAATGTTTGGTGGTAGATTTCCTGGTGTGCTTGAGATTGTTCCCTGGTCCAATTTTGGCAAAGCTTTAACTGTGTGATGGCCATTGTGTTAACACACACACCTGAAGGCTCTAGAAAAGGGATGCCCAAACTCAGCCTTGGAGGGCCGGTGTCCTGCAGAGGTTAGTTTTAACCCCAATTAGATACATCTGAACCAGCTAATCAAGCTCTTTCTAGAAATTCTTAAAACTTTCAGGCAGGTGTGTTGAAAGAAGTTGGAGCTAAACTATGCAGGCACCCCTTTGGTAAAACATCTGCTGGATTATCACTTAAGGAATTCAATTAGCAGATTAGCAATGCTTGATTATTTTTGTTAACTCTAAATGGTGTTGATTGTTCATCTGAGGTTTCATTAAGCACATTTTAAGACCTGCCAAAGATCAGTTTTTGTTTTTAAAGTCCTGATAAGGAAAGTTTTAAATTTCAGAGGATGTCAGACCTTTTTATACAATAGTTTGCTGACTGTGGTTCACCAGTTTTGCTAATCAACGGGGTTTCTGGATTCTACATATAGCTCCTTTAAGGTTGGCACCAGCCAAGAACCACATCTAATTTAGTGGAAAAGGGTGGAACAAGTCCGGACTGGGAATTAGAGCAAGTGGTTGAATTATATTCTACTTCTTTCTTATGAATGGAATTTCTCATCATCTCCAGTAGGATTTGATCTTAATGCAAGCGCTTGTTCAAATATAAAATATAGAGAATTGAGAGAGTATGTATGATTCATACATAAAGAGATTTCAAACATTACCTTGTTTTTTTGCTATGCATCTCACTTCACAATTCATGCACCTGTGAAAGGCTGAACAGGTTCAACAAATGCAACTGCAGTACTCAATGCTGCAAGAAGAAACATCTGATCCCACATACAAAGACCTACCTTTCAGAAACGTCTCAAGTGGTCTGACACAGAAACTAGATCAGAAACTAGTCCTGACTGGAGTCTCTTGAAAGAACTCAAGATTCATAGTCTTTGGAGAGGTCAAGATCATTACCCTGGAGGAAACCCAGTCTTACAGTACAGAGGAGGGGTTTAGTTGCCATGAAAATCCTGAATCAGTAGACTTAACCCAATTCAGATGATTTTTAATCCAGAACCCCACTTGATCCAGCTCAATAGAAATTACCTGGATCAAATAGAATAAGAGTTGAGTTCAAACTTTTTTTTTTCTGAATATTGACTATATGGAGTAAATGTTAAACAAGGAAGATAATATTTGTATTTCTCACCAAGAACGCTGCGCTTGCAGAGAGGGCAGGTCTGCTGGAGGAGCAGCCAAGGATCCACACAATCTCTGTGAAACTCATGGAGGCACGGTAACACCCGCAAACACTGAAACACCCACAGCAGTGATCAAACTTAACACTGACTGCCTTTATTTGGGTAAGAGTAATACAGTTCAGAGGATTTGTCACCTGGTTGTTGTTGTATTGTTCCAGACAAACTGCACAACTCTCCGTCTCCATCGTTTGAGTTTGTGTTGGATCACATCTCACTTTGGGCTGCCGGTATGTCCTCGTCTTCAGTGCTGATAATCTCTTCAGAATGTCTTGCTTCAGGTTTGACTATGAAACAAAGAGTTTATTACTATTTTTACTTCTGTTGTAAGTCATGGTCATATTCAGGTTTATATTTAGGAAGTCTGTTCTGTTCAACAAAACGGCATTTACTTGATCAAAAATATAGTAAAACTGAAATAGTAACATTTATGTGATAGAAAAGATCATCTAATCTCCATCATCATGTGAACTTTCAAAAATGATTTGAAGCATTAATTTGGTGCTTAAGTAACCTTTATTCAAGTTAAAGCGAAAGCAGTTGTGCTGCTTGACGATTTGCTGAAAATGTGTATGTATACAGTATTGTGCAAAAGTTTTAGGCCACTAGTATTCCACCAACAACCCCCCCACATACACACATACATACACATTTCCAAACATTATTTTTGTCATTAATTGTAATCATACAGTGAGATTATTGTCTGCACAAGGAGTCTGAAAATGGCCAGTGTTCCACACAGAGAGATCTGATCATCATCCAGTCTTTCTGAAATGACATAACAAAAAACGACCTGCAACCAATCTTTTTTTTTTGTGAAAGATTTTTGGATGAATACAGTTCAAAATAACATCATCTATTTGATATAGGAATTTTTCAACATTATACATGTTTTTTGTGTCGTATTTGATCAATTCAGTGAATTCTTGATCAACAAACCTTTGTTTCTGTTGGGAAAAAAGTATTTTTGTTTGGAAGTTGGAAAGCCACTGTATTTTCCTTCCAGTCTCCACTTAATGTTGCTTGTCAAATTAGTGTTTTAAATCATAAACTTTGTAACTTTCAGAATGAATCTGTCCCAAAAACACTGTTCACCTCTAAATCGTCATTAAATTGGTTGTCCTGGTACTGCCAGCGTGCTTGAACTATGACCCCTGTGGAGAGAACAAGGGCCACCAGAACAACGGTGTTCCACAGCTGCTGGAGATATTTCTGGACAAAACATGAACAGAAAAGACATTTTTCTCCATGCTGAAAAATAAAAAGAGTAATTTCTCTACATGTGACAAACAGTATAACGTGACAAATAAGTGACGACTGGCCACTGAGTTATTAGAAAATAATGTTCACCCGAAGTGGTGATGTGTCCATGACACAAAAAGCCCCTTTCACACAGTAATACAGGTAAAAATCCGTAAAATTACCAAAATGACTTAACTGGATTTTCAAAACAATCCTGTTCACACATACAGATCTTTCCGGAAAAATTGCTGGTAATTTTCTAAAAGGTCTCTATGTGTGAAAGGGGCTATTGAAAATGGCTTTTACACCATGAGTGCACATTATTTTTAATAAATCACATTACATGACAACTCAAGACCAATAAAAGACTTAAAATAAAGTACTTTAAAATACTTTTTACGTTTTTTTTTTTTTTTTTTAAATATACCAAGTTGCAGTAAAGTGGAGTAATCTGACTAAATTACATGCTGACTGGATTGTGTGTTGAATTAGGCAAGGCAAATTTATTTATATAGCACATTTTATACACAATGGTAATTCAATGTTAATTCAATGTTTATGTAAAGCACTTACAATGGTGAGTGCTTTACATAAACAAGAATAAAAAGAAGCAAGTATAAAAAATTTAAAATGATTAACAATGTATTAAAATGTGTTCAAACAGGTTTAGAACTTATGCTTAAAAAAAAAAAAAGACAAGCAGATTCCTGTTTGGAACTACTACTACTGCTACTACTACTGTGCCTTTCCCGGAAAACATCCATTAAACAAAATCACATTCGAACATCCAACAGCACCTTATAAGCATTATTAAGAAACATGAAACGATTACATATAAGTGCTGAAATATCTTCAGCCAAGTTATTATGGTAACCCCGGATGACATAATGTTTTTACCTGGACCTGAGAGTTAGTCTCCCCAGTGCAGATGACCCCTTGCCATTCCCCATATAAGCCTCCTCTTGAACGACCGCAGCTGGACCACAGGGTCAAGGTGGCCCCCTTTGACACCACACACAGAAATATCACACACTTACACTAATGAACCGTGAGAGTGAAACTGTGCTGCTTATTAGAAGTAAAACCGTACCAGGCTGTCTTGTAGAAAAGACTTGTAAGTGATTTTTGCTGTTGCACGAAGGCCCCTGATTGAACAAACATACAAAAGGACAAATTTTAAAAATCCAGTTTATTAAAACTGTAAAAAGTAAAAAGCTGATGGGTTAATGGCTGAAGATTACCTGAGAAGAGCTCCGATGAGCTTAGTGACATTTTCTGATGTCTGAATGACAATGATTGGTTTTGAGAGGACCTGAGAGAGATCCATCTGCAGCGGAAAGAACAGTTTTCTTTTTAAAAAAAGGAAAATCATTAAAGGGATAGTTCACGCAAAAATACAAATTTGCTCTCTATTAAGTCAAACTCAAGTGGTTCCAAAGCTTTATGAGATTCTTTCTTCTGCTAAACACAAAAGATGATATTATGAAGAAAGATGATGACCTCTAACCATTGACTTCCATAGAAGGAAAAATAAATACTATGTAAGTCAGTGGTTACAAGTTTTCAGCTTTCTTCAAAATATCTTCTTTTGAGTTCAACAACAGATTTAGAACAAGTAAAGGGTGATTAAATAATGACAGACATTTTGGTTTTGTGTGAACTATCCCTTTAAAGCTTTAATGAACAGAACAGCAAAGTCCTCACCTCTCGGACAGTGTTCTGGTTTAAAGCCAGTATGATCAAAGCAGACGCACCCAAAACAAGAGCCCGCTTCATCTATGGAGGAGAGAGCTGTCAGATTGATCAGGAAGAGATTTTAGTGTAGATAGTAAAAAATTTTATTAAATACCTTATTAACCATAGATGCAGCAAAGGACTCCTGGTTGCTGTTGCTGGAAACTGTTCCTTCTTCCATCTGAACCGGTACCACTCCTATCCAAGGGTCTGGATCCTTTCCATCATTGATTTCACTGTTGCTTTTAAGAGCTTCATCCTTTACCTGCCATGGCAAAACAGAAGCATGTCACATTTACTTGATACTCATTTTCAGAATATCAACCTTTACAATTTTTAAACAATAGGGTTCGCCACAGCAGAATGAACCACCAAATACTCTGACATGTTTTATGCAGCGAATGCCCTTTCAGACGCAACCCAGTACTGACAAATAATAGAACACAATAACTAGGATATTTTTAAAGGGATAGTTCACCCAAAAAATAAAAATTCTGTTATTATTTACTCACGTTTGAGTTTTTTTTTTGTTGTTGTGTTGAACACGAAGAAGAAGATAGAAGATATATTAGAACAGTGTTTCTCAACTGGTGGGTCGCGACCCAAAAGTGGGTTGTGGGAACATTTTTAGTGGGTCGCGGAGTGTGTGGTCAAAAAAACAACAAAAGTTTATTTTTTAAGTTATTTTGCTTATACAGTACTTTTATTTTGAAATGTGTGCGCGACAACTGTACTGTTTGACATGTGAAATTTAATTTAATTATTGCAACAAATATGTCGAAGCGCAAGTACGACCCCGAATATGTAAAGTATGGATTTATCTATTGATGACAAAATAAGACTTAAAGCCTCAATGTAGTGAGGTGCTCTCATAAGTGAGCATGAAACCTTCTAAATTAAAACAACATTTAGAAACCAGAAAACATGTTTAATTAACAGTTTATTATTAACAGTATTTGTCGTTTTTACTTTTTGTTAAATTACAGCAACAAAATATTGTTTATTTGTAAGTCTTGGTGAATTTCTTGTATCTGTCACAACTTGTTTATGTTAACAAATAAATACAAATTAAGTATAATTGTATTTTAGTTCCTAAAAATTTGGGTTGCGGCTTGATGACCATGTAAAAATGTGGGTCCCATGGCCAAACCAGTTGAGAACCCCTGTATTAGAAGATATTTAGAAAAATGTTAAAAAACCTGTAACCATTGTCCAGTGGTGTAAAGTAACAAATTACAAATACTCAAACTACTGTAATTGAGTAGTTATTCTCAAAAATTTAAAATTTTACTGAGTAGTTTTAAAAATGTGAACTTTTACATTCTCTTGAGTACATTTTTAGTGCTGTATCTGTATTTTTACTCCCCCACTTTCCTTCAACCTGCTGTCACTACTTTATCTTTTCTTGTCTATGGGGATTAGAAAATCCTGTCCTGTGATTCCTGTCCAATCAAATCGCACATAGAAGGTAAATCGCCTCATAATGAACTACCTCAAGACATGAGTGATTTATAATTGCAGCAAACTGTTGGGAAGCATTAAAAGTGTCCAAGAAGATGTCCAAAATCTTTACATGCATTGACACAGACTGTTTAAAATGCATGCCACTGATGATAAAATAACAGATATATACTGTGTGATGACTAAAGTGGCCTTAAACACCCAGCAGGCACAAGACCTCAACATGACAGCAGATTGACATTGTACCCCAACGTTGTGGGGACATTGCATTTTGTTTGGAAAGGAAAGTCGGGTTGATGTCAATGTCCAACGTCCAACCTGAAATCATCCTAATATAAACATCTAATGATGTTACAGCTTGACGTTATGTGGACGTTACCACTATGATATGTTTTAGATATTGGATTTTGTTTGCTATACCTGATGAGTAAATGTCAGTATTTGACGTCAATATGATGTTGATTTAAGATGTTGGCTTGACGTTGAAGTTTGGCCACTTTCTATCAAAACCTAAAATCAACCAAATATCAACATCATTTGATGTTGTTATTGGATTTTAAAAAAATGTTGTCCATAGATGTTGGATGAATTTTGATGATTTAGATGAATTTTGGTCATCTGACATCACAACCTAAATCTAACTTGATATTAACATCTTATGATGTGTGCCTGCTGGGCAATAAATAAATGCACTACAGAATGTTCCGTTTACACACATCCACAGAACACATGTAAATGCATCAGCTTTTTACAGCGCAAAACTCACTACTCACTATTCTTGAGAACTTTTGAAGGGGCTACTTTTTAATCATACCTTGAGTAAAATTTACAATGGATATTTTTACTCGCACTACATTTTTAGCCAAATAATGATACTTTGTAGTATGATTTTTTAGTACTCTTTCCACCACTGCCATTGACATACATTGTAGGAAAATAAATACTGTTCGTTTGTGTTCTATTGATAAAAAAAACTACGTTAAGTAAATGATGACAGTTTTTTTAAGCTGAAACGTGTTGTATTGTAAATATGCTAAAGCATGTTCTATTTTACAGCAAGAAAAAAACAAACATTCAGAACAGTGAAATAAATTGTGTTTCCATGCAATGACAACTTACTAATATGAGCTCTCCTTTCAGGCCATGCTTCTTTTTGCTGTGGTTATCCATCGGGTCGTTCTCCAGACTCCCCTGGACCACTTCACCCTGTAATATATGCTGATGGTCCTCCAGAAACACCTCTACAAATGCCACCTGTTCACTGGACACCAGCGGACAAAACCACAACCAGCACACCGCAGAAAGACAAGCTAAAGCGCCCATGGCTCCCTGTCAGTCGATGTTATGAACCATAGCAAGTCAAAGACTGAAAGTTTGATCCATACTGTCAGGACAGGCACTGTTCTGTCACCTCCTCCAGATGTAAACAAACTGACTGGGCTCTTCTTCTGCGGCTCGCTTTGTCCTGTCTGCACTTGTCAAACTGAAACTTGCTAGAAAGGAAGTTGTTTGTTGCCCATATATTTACATGCTATAGGGGGCGCTGTGTGGTCCAATCATTTCACATGAAACGTAAAGATCCGCCCACTATGTGTTTGAGTGACTTTTTGGATCTGCGTTCTTCGTACTTTCATTTCTGGACTTCAAATTTTCATCACAGACGTTATGAAAAGATGTGCGCTCGCCACCCAGTGGGAAACTTTGGATAAGTGAATATTCCTGAGCAGTAATATTGCTATATTTTTGACATAATACATCTTTTATTGGTACCGCAACTTATTGCGGATTTGCTACACTGGCCACAGTTGAAACATTGGTTACATAGTAACTGTTAATACCAATTAATGCGCCAAAAGATGTTCACTGTATTAAATTAGCTTATCTTACTATAATACATTTAATGCAAATACATAAGTGCAGAAGAGAAAATGTCAGGTTTAATCATAACAAGAACTCCAAAAGTTTAACTACACTAACGTTAACCAGATTTTTAAAAACCACGCTGGACCGCTAAACAATTACATTAAATAATTTAATAGATTACATAGATAGACAGATAGATTTAATTTAATAGATTACATAGACAGACAGACAGACAGACAGACAGACAGACAGACAGACAGACAGACAGACAGACAGACAGACAGACAGATAGATAGATAGATAGATAGATAGATAGATAGATAGATAGATAGATAGATAGATAGATAGATAGATAGATAGATAGATAACAGTTAGATAGATATTACCATGCTAAAATATATAATATGTAGTAAGTTACTATGTTCAAAACACAGCAATATCATGGTGTTTTATTGATATTGGCTTCTTTATACACCGTCTTTCTACACCGCAACCATTTATTCGTTGCGTTTGCGTTTTATTTCTCGTAATTTGTGATTCGCATTTCATAGCGAGCCCCGAAATCACCAATGTAAACAAGGAACAAACAAGTTCATCCTTTGTTTCCAAGGGAACTTCGAGGAAGACGGCGAACTTCCGGCGTGACTTCAGTTGCTGCAGCTTCACGCTCGCGCTCACGGAGTGATGAGAGAGAGGGAGAGAGAGAGACGGACATGGAGTTCAACTGAGCAACAAAAGTAACGGAGGAGCCGCAGCACTCGAAGAGCCGGGCGGACGCTGGAAATCAGTTTCCTCGCGGGCGCGGAGGGAGATCGCGGCGTGCAGACGGCGGATTTAAAACTGATCGGCGTAAAGATGAAGCTCTTGAAGCCGAGTTGGGTCAATCACAATGGTGAGAGCAGTAACCGACTCTCTCTCTCCCTGTATATGTGTGTGTGTTTGTGCAGGAATCCGGGGCTTCAACTTGCTCTTTTGTTATGTAGAGAGGAGGATCAGGTCTCCTCTGCAGGGCTGTTTATGGACTCGACTAACGTTACTCTTTTGGACGTTTAAGCGCAATTAGAAGTATAGTAACCGGTTGTTTTTTTGCAAATTGGCTCGGTTTTAAGAAGCCACCTTTGAATATATGATGTGCACACCACCCATTTTGAAGTTGCCAAAGACAGGCAGACCTCTTGACATGGGTCGACCTAGCCGGAGCCGATGGCTGTGTTGTTTTAAGTTCAAATTAAGAGTCTAATATTTGAATTTAGAGACTATCTGGTCGAACTAACAAACTAAATGAAACGTGAGACATTGTTTATAAGAGTTATATGCTAATGTGGCCTTCGTTTCAACCTGCTACGAAGTCGTGCACTGTTTGCGGTTTTGTTGGAGATGTATATATTTCTTAAAAACTGCATTTGTGTTATAAAGAGTGTTTTTGTTTTCAGGTAAACCAATATTCTCAGTTGATATCCACCCAGATGGAACTAAGTTTGCTACAGGTGGCCAAGGTGAAGATTCAAACTCCCTTATACCTCCTCTGTCGTTGTCTGGCTAGCGAATTTGTAACTATAGCATTGCTAGTTTTGTAGACCAGAAGTTTGTCATTAGGAAATACGAATTTTTTTTTGCATTGACTGACAGGTGAGGACTCTGGGAAAGTGGTCATCTGGAATATGGCCCCGGTTCTTCGAGAGGAGGATGAGAAGAACGAGAATATTCCCAAATTGCTTTGTCAGATGGACAATCACTTAGGTATTACCTCAGGGTTTATATGCATCTTAATTCACTCTTCCACAATTTACAACCTTAAAAAAGGTCTTAAAACAGAAGAGTCTTAAATTTATGGAAATAAATGTTGCATGCACTTAAAAATTCATAATCTTCAGTATTTTGTTCTAAGGAAAATATCTAAATGTCCATAAGTCAATGTGCATTTACTTTTAGATGCAAAATGTGGAAATGAAGTTTTATATTTTGTGAAACTGAAGCAAATTAAGTTAGTCCATGCCTTAAGCAAGACCAAATAGCTGTCACTAGGGTATGAAATCTACAAAAAAATAATTTTTTGGAGCCCATTGACAATATTACTTTAATCTTAAACTCGCTCGTATCTTGTTTTGACCTAAGTAAATGCATTTGCATCAGAAAGCATTACAAAAATACTAAAAACATCACATTTTTTGCAGTGTGATCAGAAGGTACAGTAAAAGTATAGTAAGTGTTCCTAATACAATTCCTATCAAATGATTTATTGCATTTTCAGAATTGTAATGTCATTTAAAAGTTGTATGTTTAATTTCTACAGAAACATTCTTTAAGTTAAATGTATGAAATATAAAGAAAAAAATAATTTATGTTTTTCTTTTAATACAGACCACATATTTTGCTCACAACATGCAAAAGATTAATTCATAGGCGGTGTCTAGACACTAAAATGTATTTTAAACTCGTTTGGATATGAACTGCTCTGACAGAATGTGAGACAGAATGTGTGACCGTGATGAATATTCAGTATCTAATCAAATGTTTTATGTAACTTTGTGCATTTCAGCATGTGTGAATTGTGTGCGGTGGTCAAATAATGGCTTATACCTGGCATCAGGAGGAGACGACAAACTGGTCATGGTGTGGAAGAGAGCTGCGTGAGTAAAACTGACCTGCTCTGATTATTGCCTTTTTTATTTTTATACAACTTTTAAATTTCTAGCCAATTTTTTTTTCTGTGATGAATGAAAAGAATATTTTTCTTATTGTTTATGTAACATGCATTAATCAAAATGCTTGTATAATTAAAAACAAGTGTTAAAATATGTATTGCAACATTTCGTTTTTGATTTTGCTTTTTAAATAAACAAAAAAACAACAACAACTAATGTAAGAAAATAGTGCTGTCAATCGATTTAAAAAAATTACAGAATTAATCACACTTTTTTTTGCAGTTAATCGCATTTAAAAGTCATTTTGGCTACTCAAATGTAAAATGTAAGTTAATGTAAACTCAAGACAAAATTCAAAATACGATTGTTTTTTTACAATTTTTGTTTAATTTGTTACACAGATTTCTTCATGTGAACAACATGCGTGCAATAAACCATCAAGATCCTCAAACTGTTGGGTTGAAAGCCATATTTATTACTGAAATAAAAACACAGGACAACTATTTGAATTTCAAAGCAATCAATGCCAATAAAAACAAAAATGATTTTCATGTTGGATTTTAAGTGGACAGCAAAAAAATCCAAAATACAGGCATTGCAAATATGGAAATTGGAAAATTTTAATAATAAAGTAATGAATACAAATAATTCTCGTTGAAAAGTTGTATTGCTGAAAGTAACAAAAATTTATTATAAAGTAGACCGTTAACCATTATGTACCGGACCAAATCAGCATATGAATTTTAATGCCAATGGCGCTGCAACAAGAACGTAAGAAGCATCAAGAGGCACACATGGGTCCGCTTTGTGTTAGGGTTGCACGGTTTACTGGTATTATGGTAGTACCGATACTAGGGCTCCAAAATACTGGTGGTGCCACTGTAGTTTGTAAATGGTAGTATCGTCATTAATGGTTTATCTACAATAGATAATGTTGCATGTGGAAAAGTCACTAAAATGCTCACACGTTTGTGCAACAACAGACCATTTAACATTAATAGTCCGTGGAAACCCTTTAAGGTTGCAAAACTGTGCAGAATTCGCGCCTTGTATGGTAGCCTATTGCATGTTTTCTAACGCTTCAGTTCGAACGCACATCTGAAATGGTTAATTTCTTTTCCTGTTAATATGATTTAGTAGCTACAACAACAACAATCTATTTAAAATAATGACTCACAAAGTGAAATTTTGAATTACTTTGGGTTGTTACCTGATAAGACTGAAAAAGAAAATAGATGAAAAACCTAAAACAGGAACAGGAAACATTGAAACAGTTTTTTGACTTCTTCAAAGAGCCTAATTTTGATGGAAAAATGCTCTTTTTTTGGTGTAATTTGTATCTTTATTTTAATGTATTTTTGGTTGGTCAGTTATCTACAAAATAAACAAAAAGAATAAATAAATTTTAGGTGAAGTCAGGTTATAAGATACTTTACAAACTTTGTGTAGGTGGGAAACACATCAAATTTAATTAAACATTTAAGGGCACATGGAATCAGCTTAAGTGCAGAGGAATGCACTGTCTCAAACAGCTTGCGACATCAAGCTTTCACTGAGTAACGTTAAGTTTACATGGACACCAACACTCTGATTTTAATATAATTAAGACAATACTCTGATTAAGAGTCTATTATGTAAACTGCATTTTTTTAAATATATTTTTTTGATTACATTTAAGGACCACAGACACCCACGTCATGAAATGCAGACATTTTTTATGTCCATTTGGTATCAAATTCCATTAAAACAACACTCTCCCAAACAATATGTTGCCGAATTAAAGTGAAACTGCCGAACTGGAGTTAAAGTCCAAAAATGTAAAATGCCTGAAATTATATAAAACTCTTTAATCTAAAAGGCTTTCCTTGGTCTTTTCCATATTTCTTTGCACGTTGAACTAACGTCAGCAGCAACAGCAAAAAAGAAAAAAAAATTCAACGCGTTAAATATTTTAAATTAATCACATGCGATAACGCGCTAT